GAGGATGTAATGACATTGTCTTTGTTAATCATCTTGGCTTGAAGTCCACTTTGTCTGGAAATTAAATAGTTATACGTGCTCTTTTCTGGATTCCTGTTGCATGAAGTATTGATTTCCATCTTTTGACTTTTAGGCTATGAATTTGATTTTGAGTTAAATGCATTTCTTGTATGCAGCATATTGTTGGGTCTTGCTTCTTGACTCATTCTGCCAATCTGTTTCTTTTGATTGGTGATTTGAGTCCCTTTGCACTGATGGTTATATAACTAATATGTATTGATTTATCCTTGTTACATTGTTTTCCTGTTATTGGTTCTATTTCTTCTTAATCTCCTATCTTTTTTTTTTTCTTTTTTTGTCTTTTTGAGACAGGGTTTCAATATGCAGTTCAGACTGGACTTAAGCTCACTTTGTAGCTCTGGCTAGTCTTGAACTCAAAACAATCCTCTTGCCTGAGCCTTCCTAGTGCTGGGATTATAAGTGTGCACTAGCACACTTGGCTTAGATATCTGTTCCATGGGTTTTATTTCTTATGTTGGACCTTCATAATTTGGAGATAAACTCCTCTATTTTTATCTTTATCTACTCTAAATTTCACTAACCATGTTCTTCATTATGGTCATCATCTCTACAACTGTGAAATTATTTCTAATTTGATTATCTTTTGAGCCTCACTCATCTGCTTTATTGCCTCCACTGTCATCACCTCAGAGAGTGTAGGTTGGGGCTTTGGAATTGTCCCATCTTATCACCCCCTGAGTCTGTCCTTGTTTAGCTGCAAGTCTAGGGCTACATCCTGCCTCTGTGTCTTTTCAAAAAATTTCTGTGTTGATGCTTGTAAATTTCTTGTGGCAGGTAGCTTTATTGCTAGTATCAAAATCCCTTAGAAAATGACTATTTCTTTGAAATGTACTCCAGGTGTAGTTGGCTTTTGGGTTTTGAGTCTCTTTCAAAATTCTCTCTTTTACATTAATTGGAGATGAGAAGTTGGGCTAGCTCCTCACTATTTGGCACTGTGCGTAGCATTGTTTATGACATTAAGGCAATCTCACCTTTGTTTACAAGGCAGAACAACTGATTTGAACAACTTTGCTATCCTGGCTAAAACAGTAGCATTAGTAATAACAATAGCATCAAGTACAGCCTAACCATGACAAATTGTGGTAATGATGAATTTGTCACCTTAAACCTTAAGAACAAATTTATAGTTGCATCACAAAAATCTAAAACAAACCAGAAAATTTTACACAGTAAATATCTCCTCAATTTAATGATTTTATCCTCTGGGGCGAAAATTTAAAAAGAGTAAGGGGTAAAATAGAAAAAAAGAAGGGAAAGAGATTAGAAACAAGAGTAGAGAACAAAGCACGATTATATAAGCTTTGAGAAACTGGTGAAGAAGACAGGAATGAAAGTAGGAAGGAAGAAACAGAAACAAGAACAGAACAAGATGAAAACAACAACAAAACTAGAAATGGGGCTCACACTCATAAAAACAAAAGCAATCAAGGAAAAGAGAAAAAAAAAGTAAAGAAAGGGAAAAAAAATCTTATTGAGGGCATGTTTCTATTGTCACTTATAAACAAAGTGGGCAGATAAAGCTTCAGTCTTCAGTGTGCAGGAGCTACTTGTTTGTGCCACCATGCGTAACTAACATTACTTACTGTCTCAGTCACCTTTTTCTCATTGTTGGAACAAAATTACCTGATACGCAAACTGAAGGAAGAATAGGTTTACTTAGCACACAGTTTGTAGAAGCTTTAGACTACATTTGGCTGTCTCTAAGGCAGAGTGGCACATGGCAGAGGACAGCAGTTCTTGGTGGTGGCAAAGAGCAAGAGCAAAGGGAGTGGCAGCAGCTGTAGCACTTAGGTAGCCTCTCTCTGCTCCTCACATTGTGTAATGCAAGTTGCTCCTTAAAGGGCCAGGGTGTAGATTCACACCTGCAATCCCAGCGCTGGATCAAGAATCAATCACGAACTCCAGAAGTCACCCCATGGCTGCATGAGGCTTTAAGGGGACAATGAGACACAAACTGTAACACTTATAAGTGTGGCTTAGCTTTCCTTGTGCTTCTTGTACTGAAGGCCTCTTTGAGTTTCAATGTGTGGACTAATATATCAAATATTTTTTAAAAATTTAGCTATTACTTCTTCAAATATATTTCCATTCTTTTTTCTTTCTGCCCATTTTTTGTTCTGAATTTTTTTTTTTTACATTGCAAATCTTCATTTGAACCATACTATTGAATTTTCTTTGGCAGTTACATTCTTCTTAAATCCAGAATTCAGATGTATTCTCTTTTAAAATAGTTTGTCTTTGCTGATATTTTATATTGGATCAGACATTGTTGTGAAATGAATTATGTTTCCTTATAAACCATGTTTTATGGTTTTAATCTCCTATGTAAGAATATTTGGATATAAGGCCATTAAGGAAATGATTAAGGTCAAGTGAAGTCAGAGGTGAGAGAGACCCTTACCTCCTGATAGTGCTGATGTCCCTAAAATAAAAGAGGAAATGCAAAAGGGTTCCTTGGAGGTTGTGCATTCTCACTCTCCCTTCCCCTCTCCATCCTCTTTTCTTCCCCTCATTGTGTATGTGTGTGCATGCGTGTGTCCCTCGCTGCCATCCTTAAGAAAACAGAAGCCATGTGAGACAGCGATGTTCAGACAGAATGAGAGGATTCAGCATAGACCAACACCGACAGCTCTTTCATCGTTTTTTTTTTTTTTTTTCTTTCAGTTTATGTATGTGGTACAGGGTCTCACTATGTAGCTCTGACTTGTAGTGATCCTCCTGTTTTCAGCTTCTCCAGTGCTGGGATTACAGGCATGCGCCACCACACACAGACTCTGTCACTTGATCAACGCACCCTGGGGATGGGGCTGGCGTGGCATGTGGGACCAGGGATCAAACCCTGGACCCTGAGCTTGCCGAAGTGGGTGCTTAATCTGCTGAGCTATCTTGCTGGTCCTAAGCCCCTTCATTTAGGACTGACAGCCTTTGGAAGAGTGAAGAGAAAAATTTCTGTTATTTAAAGGCACTCAGAATGGCATACGTGCATCTGGAAAACTAAACAGCTAATACAAACATTATTTCATGTACTCTGAAATATAGTGTCCACCCATTCTTTGAACATACTTATATGAGATGCTTTGCAGTGTTTGACTACTAAAACCAATGTCTGGACTCTCATAAACATTTTTTCACCTGTATTTTTTTTTCTGTGAATGAATCACATTTACTGTTTCTTTGGATGACTCATGACGAACAAAATCCCTGGATGTTTTACATAATATACTTTAATTTAATTTTAGTTTTATTTACTGTATTTAGTACAGGGTCTCACTACATAGTTTGGACTCATAGTGATCATTCCTGTTTTTCAGCCTCCCAAGCGCTGGTATTACAGGTGTGTGTCACCATGTCCAGTCTCACTCGCTGTCTCAGTACACCCCAGAGGCGGGGTCAGCACGGCACACCAGGAATTGAAACCCAGCTGCTGTGCTCTGCCTAAGCAGGCACTTTAGTCTGCTGAGCTATTTGGCTGGCCCTTAGATAATATATTTCAACAAATGTAGGTTTTTTCTTTCTTCCATTTAAGGGCTTGGTGTTTCTTTCTTTGTTTAGTGATTATGTAACCACTTTATCAAAGTCTCTCTTCTCAAGACAAAAAGAAGCCACTGGATTCTCAGTCTTGAGGACATACACTGTCATCTTTGGGTGAATGCAGTTTTTTCCTTCCTTTTCATCTTCCTTCCTCCTTCCCTATGTGAATGGATGAGTTGTAAAACTAATGACATGTATGTTTCAATGATTGCAAATATTACAGTTTTACTAATTATAGGAGAGAATTTAGGAAGACTGTATAGTTACAGTCTATAACTGTATAGTTATAGTCTCAGAAAGGATTCATATTTAATCACAGAGAAACTAAAAATTAGCATCAGTAGTAAAGTTTAACTGACCCTTGTGCTTACCTGGTGGGCTCTCTAATTGTGGCCCGTCTGAGCCCATTATTATGCCTCTTGCAATAGCAACTACCAAGGGCTCTGTGTTAGAATCTATAAAAATAAAACAGATTTTTAAACACTTTGAAAGATACTCTAATATACTTCTAACTCTCTGTGTGTTGGCTGTGTGTGTGTGTTGGCTGTGTGTGTGTGTGTGTGTGCATGTGTGTATGGGTAGTAATAACCTAATTACCATGTTGTTAGGGAGACAAAATGTTTTCGAAGGTCTGGGTTACAGAATCATTATCTCTTAGAATTGGAAGCAGTCTTACCAATGCTATCTACCCCTATTATTGAGGTATAGAGAAATTTAATTATTTTAACAAAGCTTGTATCCAGATAATAAAACTGTTGTAGAAATCAATATCTTAGGTTTTGTTAACCAGCCCTTTTCTTATGAAGTGGCTACCTTTTACATACAGCTTGTGATAAAAATAAAATTTTCAAGTTGACACCAAAAGCACAATAATAGGCAAACAGTGAGTTGGACCATAATTTTTCTCACATATCAACTTGTGTAAACCATAGGCTTTATAGTCACAGAAAGTTAAGTTTTAGATGATGTATCTATGAATTAAGTTACAAGAGTGATGGAAAAGAGTAACAGTAAGCTTGTAAAGTTAAAAAAAGCCCTCTCTGGGTCATTGAGAAAGGAGACAGGATTTATAGCCAGAAATGGGTAGCTTTGCATGAGCATCAGCACTGGGATAGGATGCCTTGCATTGAAGTTTTTGTGGTTTGTACTTTCCGGCCTATTGCAGCCGTACCCAACCTTTCTGACACTGGGGATCAGCTTTATGCAAGACAATGTCTTCACGGACTGTTTGGAGGGTGAGCAGTGGGATTTCAAATTGGATCAGCATAAGGAGAGTACAGCCAAGATCCTTCCCATGTGCAGTTCACAGCAGGGTCCATGTTCACATTGGAGGCTAATGCTGCTGCTCCCCCTACAGAAGGGGCAGAGCAAGCAATGATTTGGGCAATTGGGAGTGGCAGTTGTAAATGCAGATAAAGTTGCTTACCTTCTGCGCAGCCAGGCTCCTGAGAGGCCATGGATCTGTGTGGCTCAGGCTTTGGGGACTCTACTAACAGGACTTTTTTTATTTTCAATTTTTTTCTCTTAATTATTTGTAGCTTTTAAACATTATACTCAATCATAAAATAACACATGTAAATCAATTGGCTCTGTAGTTCTTAAAAGGCATGGTATTATTAATTAGCCAGTTTTAAATGGGAAAATTTTATTAGCATGTGTATGCTTGTTATTCAAAAGTAACAAGCACCTAAAGCAACTGAATTGTAAAGTAATTGAAGACATTAGAAACCAAATACTCCGAAAATTAAAGACAGAAAAATGACTCATCTTATCTTACCAAATACTTTAGCATAAAAACATAATACAAATATGAATGCTTCATTCACACAATGTCATTTTATCAATCCTAGCTTTTCCTTAGGCATAAACTCTTGAGTAAATATATCCTTTTGATTTATTTTCCATACTTTTTGCAGTAGTAAAATTGTGACCATTCTGATGTTTAACATAGCATTAAAAACTGAAGCTTTAGAAATCTTGCCTTGAGGGTTTTTTTTTTCCCCATTTGTGTATTTGGTGCAGGCTTTCACTATGCAGATCAGACTCATAGTGATCCTCCTGTTTTCAGCCTCCCCAGTGCTAGGATTACAGGTGTGCGCCACCCAGATTTGGGTGCTGGCCCAGCACGTCCTGTGAATGGGGCTGGTTTTTGAAGATTAAGCTGCATATTTTCGGATATGGTGCTAGTAAATTCAGTGTTTGATGAGGGCCCATTTTTTGGTTGATTATGTTAGGCTTTTTACCCATGTCCTCATGAGGAGGCAGGGGTGAGGCAAAGCTCTGGAACCTCTTTTTTTTTTTTTTTTTTTTGGACTGAGAGTACCAGTCCAAAATTCTAAGCTCTAGCTTTCAGAAAGAACTCAGACAAAAGTTCCTAAGTGTAGTCTTTCTAGGATCGAAGAGAAATGAGATCTATTATCATTCCTCTGGGAATAAAGACCACAGTGTTGCTTGTAAAAATTTTGTACAACTGAAGGACTCTAGTGTAGCATGACCTGACAAATGTATGCCCAATTAACCATCAAGAAGGAATCAGTAATCAGCATCATAACTTACTATAACAATCCTCTTCTTATGCTATTTCTGCTTTTTCTAATTCAAAGCAACTTTTCTGTTTTAAGCTAGAACCAGAAAGTGAATAGAATAGTGATGGGAAGACTTTCTTTTTTCTCCCTTGGCATAGGGGGAAAAAAACTCAGGACTTCACACTTGCCAGGCAGGTGCTGTGCCACTGAGCTAAGTCCCCCCAAAATAGTTTCATCAAGCGTATTACAAAAGTGCTAGAACCCTGGATGTTTGTCTCATTTCCTAAACAGATGACTTTAAAACTAATAAGATATAGCTAATGTTCCATTGATAAGAAATGCAAGAATTTAATGATTTTTTAAAAGAAGAAATTCACAAAGATTTTTGCTCACATAAATACTGTAGTCATTAATGATCCATTCTTAGTCCTCAGAGAAGATAAAAAATAAATATTAATGGTAAAAATTAACCATTCTTACCATGGTGACTCTGTGGTTGTGTCTTCATTGCATTAAATACTTTACCACCTCTGAACATGTCTGTCAAGTGTACTGTATCTGTTTCTAAGGGTAGAAGACAGATCTTACAACACTAAGATAACCATTAATGTATTCTCATTCTAGTAAAACATTTCTATCTTTGTTGCTATCCTCAATTTGGTAAGACATTTTCATCACGTGTCTTTCCCTTTTTTCCCCTCACATCATTTTATCAGTGCGTTACTGGTTACACAGATAAGTAGGGCCTCATTTGGGCAGATTCAAAAACACACATCACATCCTTTAAGCATTTTACCCCTTGCCTCAGTTTTTAGGGGGGATTCAATGCTTGTAATATATTTTAATCATATCCACCCCTTATTACCAGCCATTATATCCCTCCCCTTATTATCTTCTTGTCTGATCTTCCTTTCATTTTTTAAGAGTGGCTTCCTTTCATTTTAAAAGTTCACGTCTAATAAGTGCTTTAAAGTTGGTGCCAGCCACGTCCAATACCCATGACTCACAAGCAGTGTTTGTGGCACGACTATTTTCTGAGGTCACATTTTAGTTTCTTTGAATATTAACAACATTTGCTAGAGATTTAAAAGTTTAGAGGGTTTATTAAAGCATTGCTGCTTATTTTATC